CGAACAAAGTTGTAAAATAATTTAAAAATATTGTTTTCAAAAAGTGCCTATATTAAACATATATAGACTTTTCTTGTCATTTTCCTTAAACTGTGTAGTGTAACAGCTACCTTCATGTTATTTGCATTATATATATATATATATATATTATGTAAGAATCATAAGTAATCTAGAAAAAATTTTAATATATAGAGGGATATACAGGCTGCATGTGCATAGTATATACTGTTTTACATGAGGCATGTCAGCATCCTTGAGTTTTAGTGTGTACTCGGGAACCAAACACACCCAGATGCTCAGGGATGACTTTATTGTGTTTAGAGCTGAGGTTCCGAGGTGTCAAAGTAAGAGGGCAGTTCTAGAGTCTTAGAAGCTGTTTGGAAGACCATGTAGTCTATGATTTACTTTGAGGTAACCCCAGTCTCCTACCAAGATGGCCATGTGCCTCAAGTCACATAAAGGTTTGTGTGTGGCAGAAGCAGAACTGGGTAGATCCCATGTTTCCAACCTTGAAACCTAAGCTGTATTTTCTGGATTTCTTGGTGTGATAAGAATGTTTCCCCTGGTAACTTTGTCACGTGATCAGTCCGTGGGCCTTAAGCCAATACCTCAGCTGGGCATGGAGATCAGCTCAAGCCTGGCCTCCTGCGAACTCTGGGACACCAGGGACAGGGTGGGAGTTTTTGCTATTGTTTTAGACTGCTTCTTGCTTTGTACTAGGCTCCTTGAAGTTCATGGCCCGCCTGCCTCCAATTCCCAAGTGTTAGGGCTATAGGCATATGCCACGACACCCCATTCCTTAGTCAGATCTCAGTGTTTTGCCTCACCACCCTGTCCTCTGTGGTGGATAGGGAAAAAGCATCATTACCTGGAGCTTCAGAGCCAACTCAGTGGTAGGACATTTCCCTAGCACAGGCAAGGCACCTGGTTTAATCCAGCATTGCAAAAACAACTAAAAGAAAAAGAAAACTTTTAAAAAGTTAGCATAAGCTGGGGCTAGTGGTATATACCTATAATTCCAGGATTCAGAATAGTGAAGCAGAGGATCAATAGTTCAAGGCCAGCCTGGGCCACATAGTGAGACCCTTGCTCAAACAATAAGAAAACTTACCTTTGAACCAAGCATGGTGGAAAATTTCTCTAATTTTGGAGGCTGAGTCAGAAAAATTCCAAGTTCAAAGCCAGTCTGAATTACACAGTGAGTTTCAGACCTTCCTGGTATACACTATGACTCTGTCTCAAAAACAAAAGCCCAAATTACCTACCAGATGTCTTCTGCACATTAGGCTGTGTGCACGACACTTTCCATGCATCATCCTTTGAATGTCTTAGCCCTTGAAATACCCAAAGTCTCCTTTCCAGTTCACTGTTGGGAGAAACTGAGGACAGTATTTATTTTATGCATGTGGCTGTTTGGCTGTATATGTTTCTATGTAGCTGGTACCTGTGAAGAGGCATCAGATCCCCTGAAACTAGATGGTGGTGTGACGCCATATGGGTGCTGGGGCTTGAACCTGGGACCTCTGGAAGAACAGACAGTGCTCGCAATCACTGAGACATCTATCTCTCCAGGCCCTTGCTTTGATTTTTTAATTACATTTATTTATGTACACAGGTGTACACTTCCTGAAAGAGGTCAGAGGACAACTTTTGGGAGTTGGTTTTCTTTCCAAATGTGGATTCTGGGGATTACACTCAGGTCATATAAAGTGTCCTTATGCACTGAGCCATCTCACAAGGACTTGATTTTTGGTTGTTTGGGGACTTGTTTGTTTGTTTTATTTTTCTTGTCTTTTTGAGAACTGTCTCTTGTAGCCTGGTCTGGCCTCCAACCAAGAATGACCCTAGAATCTGACCCTCCAGCGTCCACCTGAGTACTAAAGTTATGGGTCTGGACCACTGTGCTTCTGCAGGTTGTGACGCTGCAAAGCCTTGGAGTACATTTCAACCTGTCCTTCTGTTAGGAATCTGGGTCAGGGAAAAGATGTACTGGTTTCTTCTGGAACAGCTAGGCTCAGAAACTGAGGGAAGGAAACCTGAAACCAGATCAACAGGGACCAGACAAAGGCCTGAGGTTGGCGCCACCTGAGCCCTTTTTAGGGACACAGGTGGCCAGGACTCTGGCTGCTTGCCATTGCAGAAACTCCACCTATTCAGGTGGCTCTCTGGCTGTCCTGACTGGTCTTTGGGGAAAATACTCATGATGATAATCTGTCTCCATGGACTGATGACAAAAGCAGCTATTAGTGGGCCCTTAATAGTAAGATTCAGATGGGGGGAACTGAGTTTGGGGATGGCTAGGGTCTTGTCTATTAGTGGGCCCTTAATAGTAAGATTCAGATGGGGGAACTGAGTTTGGGGATGGCTAGGGTCTTGTCTGTTGTCACAAAGCAATTTAGTGACAGCTAGAAAGTGAACTGAGGTCTCCAGCCACCGATCCCTGGGCTCTTGCTGGCTCCAAGAAACCAGAATCGCATATACCACAGGACTTTACTAGCGTTTAGGCAGATTATTTAGTGAGCACTTAAGCAGTTTAAGGAATATGTTACAAATTTCTTTTCAGGGAATCAGTAGTACAGCCCCAGGTATAAAGCAAGAGCCGACTGCTCTGCCAGAAGAACCAAGTTCAATTCCCAGCACCCACATGGCAGCTCACAACCATCTGTAACTCCAGGTCCAGGCACCAGGCACACACATAGTGCACAGACACATATGTAGATAAACACTCATAAAACAAAAATTTAAAATTAAACTAGACAAAAGCAAGCCAGGCGTTGGTGGCCCACGCCTTTAATCCCAGCACTCGGGAGGCAGAAGCAGGCAGATCTCTGTTGAGTTCAAGGCCAGCCTGGTCTACAAAGCTACACAGAGAAACCCTGTCTTGAAAAGCAACAACAACAAAAACAAACAAACAAACAAAAAATAGACAAAAGCCCCTGAGTTCACAGACAAAAGCCCCTGAGTTCACAGACAAGGGCCTGCTATTCAGAAAAGCCAAGGAACTAACCCACTGTATAACCAACAATGGCCGAGCCAAGGCCAAACCTAAGACTGGCTGTCTTCAGGGCTGTGTCTGCTTACTTCCTAAGAAAGCTGAGGATAAAAAGGGGCCCAGAAAGGAGGCAGGAGTTTTTGTTTGTTTGAGTTTGGTTTGGTTTTCACCAGATTTTTGGAACAGTTTCTCCATATAGCCCATTCTGGCCCACTTGCTGTGCTGGCCAGACTGTCCTCAAATAATAAATCCTCCTGCCTCAGCCTCCAGTAATACTGTCATTACAAGCATGGGTCACTACCCAAGAGCCCCAATAATGTGAGGTGTTAATGGGCGCCCTCTGACACTGTCCCGACCCTGCCTTGCTTGGACAGTTTGCCTTCAGGGATGATGTGCCTTTGGTGCGTCTGGAGGTGGCCGATGAGTGGGTACGGCCAGAGCAGGCTGTGGTGCGGTACCGCATGGAAACCGTGTTTGCTCGGAGCTCCTGGGACTGGATCGGCTTGTACCGGGTAAGAAGGGCAAGAGTCTGGGGCTCTCAAGGAAGGGGGGTCCTGCAGCCCCCTGTTCCCTGCTTGCTGTTCTGCTGAGACGCTTCTGGCATAGATGTCCCAACCCTGGCTCCTCTTTCCCTAGGTGGGTTTCCGCCACTGCAAGGACTACATGGCTTATGTCTGGGCCAAACATGAAGAAGTAGATGGGAATATCTACCAGGTATTTACAAGGAGTGGAGCGTTGAAGGCCCCATTGCCTTGGGGACACCAGGAGTCTGCTTGGGAGAGAGGGTCCTGAGGCTACACCTTGGTCCCAGCTTGGGCGTCTACCCCTGTCCCCACCAGGTGACCTTCAGTGAGGAATCACTGCCCAAGGACCATGGAGACTTCATCCTGGGTTATTATAGCCACCACCACAGCATCCTCATTGGCGTCACCGAACCCTTTCAGGTAAATAGACCAGACCCTAAGGTCAAAACTTGTCAAGAAGTCCCAATCACCTGTCAGATCTTCTGTGTCTGCAACCTCAGACCAGTAGCCCAGCCTCTCTGGGTCTGCCAGCCTGAAGGAATAAGTGGCAGGCTAGAGAGTGGGATTGCCCCAGTGGCCAGTGTTCTCTCCAGATCTCGCTGCCTACCTCAGAATCGGCCAGCAGCACCACAGACAGCTCAGGCACCAGCTCGGAGGGTGAGGATGACAGCACTCTGGAGCTGCTTGCACCCAAGTCCCGAAGCCCCAGCCCTGGCAAGTCCAAGAGACACCGTAGCCGCAGCCCGGGCCTAGCCCGCTTCCCCAGTCTTGCTCTCCGTCCTTCATCCCGGGAACGCCGCGGTGGCAGCCGCAGTCCCTCACCCCAAAGCCGCCAGCTGCCTCGGGTAGCCCCTGACAGGGGTCACAGCAGTGGCAGCCGAGGTAGCAGTGAGGAGGGGCCCACTGGGCTGCCTGGCCCTTGGGCCTTCCCACCAGCCGTGCCTCGAAGCCTGGGCCTGCTCCCAGCCTTGCGCCTGGAGACCGTAGACCCCGGTGGTGGAGGCTCCTGGGGACCTGACCGGGAGGCCCCTGACCCTAACAGCCTGTCCCCCAGCCCCCAGAGCCGACTGGGGCTAGAGGAAGGGGGCTTGGGGCCCTGAGGTGGGCAGGCAGATGGACCCGGACAGCCTCACCCTGCCTCCGCCTGCCACAAACCTGCCTGCCTCTCTCTTGCTGCTTGCTCCAGTGGTTAATCACACCTGCCACTCTGTCTTGGCCACGAGTGTCCAGCTGGGGCTCCCCAAACTCAGTCCTGGCACCACCTCAACTGTGACAATCAGCAAAGCCTCGCCTAGGACCCCATTCTTGCATAATGAGGGAAACTCTGGCAATGTTCCGATCTTGGAGGTCATCCATTAGGAATTAAATTCTCCAGCTTCACTCCTGGCTCTTTCCTGTCTTGTGAGAAGTCTGAGGTGGGGAGGGGGAAGGAATTAAAGATCTGAGGGAGTGATAGAACTAATATATATTAGGCACCAGCTGTATGTGGAAACATGCCGTCTCCTTTAATCCCACAATAATCCTGTGTGCTCAGTGCCATTTTTGAACCATTTCACAGATGGGCAAGCTGAAGCCTCGATTGGCCCTGCCAGCACCTCAAGAGCAGGCAGCAAGCTCAGCCTGGCTATGCACTAGAAGAAGAGAGTGTTTACTGGCTGTATATGTGTTTATTAATTCACTCCCCAGCAGCCCTATGAGGTAGTTCATGTTTAAGGCTCCCCTTTTCAGGCTAGGGGTGTAACTTAGTTGGTTGGATGCTTGCTTAGCAACCCCTGGTTGAAGGGTTGAAGCCTGGGTTCTATCCCTAGTACCACATAAAACTTGGTGTGATGGCTTACTCCTATAATCCCAGCCCTTGGAGGTAGAGGAAGGTGGATCAGAAGTCCAAGGCTACACTAATGTACTTAGGAGAAGTCAGCCTGGGCTACAGTGAAACCACAGCTCAGACAAAAAAGAAAAAACCTCCTTTTTCAGAGGAGGAAACTAAGGCTTACAGTGGAGGAAGGAGGTCCCTAACTCAAGGGCACAGATGAGATTCCAATTTAGAGTTAGAGCAGAAAGATTAGTTGAGCCCAGGAAGGGCCCAGACACTATTAAGAGAGGGGGTCTCCACTGGGGAGAGTTGAGAACACGCTCCCTATGCTGGATTCAGATCTGGGTATTTCTGCTGTACCCCTGTTTTCCTACCTGCAGCTCTATGCCTCACAGGCAGGTGCCGAGGCTCCTGCAGGCAGATCTCAGGACATGTTAATTTTGTAACAGGGGCTGTCAGGCATCTGCTTCTGCCTCTGCAATCAGTGACTCCCCATCTCCAGTGTGTATGAAGTTTCCTGGCAAGGTCTAAACCCAAGGCTTCAGAAGCGGCCTCCTGAACACCATGTCCAGGCACAGAGGGGTTATGTCTCTAGCCTCTAGTTGCCCATGCGAGCTAAGCTGTTCCTCAAAGAAGGGTCCGAGTCTCTGGGAACATGGCAAAGCCGGGAAGGAGGTCCAGGCTGGTGCCCAGGCTGTTGTGCCTGAGGTCATGAGCTCCAGAATTTTTTCTGTCCACCGGGTCTCCAGATTGCTTGGGTTAGTTGCAGACACTGGCTGTAGAATGACGTGGAGGTCCCGGAAGGCTCCAAAGACAGCGCCAGAGTCCCATCTGTGCCTTTATCCCAGAAATGGAGCCATTTCTGCTGAACCCTCTGCAAGTGCCGAGCTGACACCCTGATGGCCCTGTGGTCTCTGGAACAGCTGTTGGAAGAGAAGGGGTCAAAACCAGCAGAGTTCCACCCTACTTTGAAAACGGAACCAAGGCCAGAGAGGAGCAGGTGTGAAGCCAGGGTCCCTAGCAAGGCAAGGAGGACATGGCTATATCCAGATGAGGCAGAATTAACGTAGGCTGGTACCCAGAGGCCTAGGTTCCATACAGAATGGTTGTGGAAACCTGAGCCAGTAATTGAGCCTCAGTTTCCTATCTCACTATCGAGCAGGTCTTGAGCTATATACATCACACTCACTATTTCCTTGTCTTCTGCCATCTTTGTTTGTTTGAGATAGGATCTCTCTGTGTATCCTAGACCAGTCTTAAAACTGCTATCTATACTAGTTGGGCCTCAAAGTACATTCTCTTGCCTTGGCTTCCCAAGTACTCAGACTACAGGCATGTCCCCCACATCTGGCTTTCCCGTAGCCATTCTACAGACAAGGAAGTAGAAGAGGGTTAGAAAGGTGAATCAATGTATCAAGGACATATAAGAATTAAAACTCAGAGTCCAGGCACCCACATCCCCCACCCATCCAGGCCTGCTGCAGAGCTGGGCTCAGGGTAACATGAGTCAGAGGGACAACAACAAATGGAGTTCAGATCCCTCTGATACTTTTCCAGGCCTCTTGTCCCAGGCACACAATTGGTCTCTGTCAGGCAAACCCAGCCCTTGGCAAAGGCCCCCATCCCTCCTGGCTCTGCCAACACTTGCCTTTTGCCTTCAGCACAGTCGAGTTGGGGGGCCAGCTTGAAGCAGGTAGTTCCCAGGAGCTCCCAAACCTTGTTGGTGCCTGCAGGTGGCCTGTGAACCCTCAGGAAACGTGCCAGACTGAGGGTAGATGCAGGCTCAGGCCGTGCCAAAACCTTGCCAGGTGCCCCTGCACAGTTCTGGCAGTAGGCAGCCCACCCCCAAGCCCACCCAGCAGGCCTCACCGGCGGGTGCAGTTACAATGGAAAAGAGGCATCTGGGCACTGTTAAGCAGGTGAAACTTGGTTTCCTGGGGCTTGATCTGGTGCTCACACTGGTCCAGTCGTCGAAGGGTTCGGCAGACTCGGGGAGCACCTGGGGGCAGATGTGAAAGAAAGCCCAGCCTTGGTTGTGGCCACGCCTTTAATCCCAGCACTTGGGAGGCAGAAACAGGAGGATCTCTGTGAGTTTGAGGCCAGCCTGGTCTACAGAGTGAGTTCCAGGACAGGTTCCAAAGCTACACAGAGAAACCCTGTCTCGAAAAACCAAAAAAAGGAAGGAAGGAAGCTAGCTAGCAAGCTCGTTCTGCATGGGAGGCCTAACCCTGTCTGCCACCATCCAGGAGACACACCGTACTTATGATTGATTACACGGTCCTCTTTTGCATCCTTCCCTGTGTTCACAGAGCGTTATCCACATAGAATGAACTGTCCCCCACCCCATGCACAGTCACTGTCTGGAGATCCCAGATAAGGCTTCCTGGGAGAAGGCTCAGTCTACGAATCTGAGTCTGAGAGAGAAAAAGAGAGAGTGTCCCCAATAGGAAAAGAACATGTGCCAAACAAAGCTAGTGGTGAGAGATGGTTGTGAGGGCTTCGGTTTTGTTTCTGCTGGGCTTGAGCATGGATAGAACGTGGAGCCATGCATGTTGTAGATAAATGCTTCGCCACTGGATTCATCCAGCCGGGTACATCTAACCCTTGCAGGCGGCTTTTGAGGAAACATTGGTGGAGCTGAAGTTTCAGCCAGAGAGTAGAGTCCGTAGGGTCTAAGGGTCCTGAGTGCTGAGATTTCGTCAGCTAATATTATGAGAGGTGAGGGACTCAACAGGGAGTGGCATGGTCCAACTTATGGAATATGGAAGTCCTTGGCTGTCAGCATCTGATGAGGAAAATTTGGGATGCCCTGGGAGATGTTTAGAACAAGAAAAGAAGTAACACCTACATTTGCACACAGAGGCAAGAGCACCCCCACCCCCGCTAAGAGCATGGTTTTAAACTCACGTTGAAGTTTTGGGCCATCTTGATAGCCAGGATGGGGGACTTCTGGCTGGGCTCTGGAGACCATATCAAGCCTGGAAGCAACTGCAGGGGTCTGGGGGGTCATGGTGGAGGTTATACTTTGGTGCCCAGCTTGTGTCTGCTGTGGGCGCCTCTTCTGGGGGCTGGGACTAGGTGGGGTGGCTGCAGCCTTCCAGGAGGCATTATAATAGGTCCTGGGCTGAAGATGAGCAAGGGGCACCGAGCCATATGCCCTGCACCTGAAGGGGATAATTTGAGGCAATTGATGACCCAGAAATTCTGTTCCTAAAGATTCTTCTAGTCTCATCCCATCCCACTGGGTTGTGGGATATACTCCAGAAGGGCCCAAACCCCTGACTTTGCCTTAAGGAATGGACAAACTCTACAATGCATGGTCTTAGAGGACAAACAGATATCCCTTCCTCCCTCCCTGCTGGCTGGCAAGGACTCAAGTGGGGCAGTCACCTACCCGCCCCACCAGTGCCATGCCACACAGGCCTCCTGCTCTTTCAGCACAAAGCAAGGGATCTCCAGCACATTGAAGAAGGCCACACCCATGATGTCAGAGATGGAGTCACGCTGGCTCCTCAGGCATTGCTGAAACCTGCCCCCAGAACCAGAATTCAGGTCCCAGGACCCCAGGGAGCCTCCAGGTACCCTCTGCAGCCCACCCTACCAGATGATCATTCATTTTCTGAGGCCTCGGTTTTGCCCACCTGCACTGAGGGTGGTCGGGAGAGGAAGGGGCCCACTTCTAAACTCTCTGGATTCCTAGTGCCTATACCCAAGAACCGGGTAACTCTACTCTGCCCCCAAGCCCCAGACCCTCTCTGACTGCTGCCAACCTGGCATCACAATCGCAGTGAGAGATGGTGTGGAACCGGAAGTTCCGGATGCCATAGTTATACTGCAAGGGTGAGATGGTTTGCGGGCATTGGTCGTGTTCCCGGCAGCAGAGGTCAGGGCCATGGAGCATTCCTGCATGGAGAGAAGAGGGGACAAACTAGAGTGGGGTCCTGGATACCATGGACCAGCTATGACTGCCTGGCATAGCAGACAGAGTTTACCCCATTCCCATCCCAGCCCATGGGTGGCCTCACACCAGATGCTTGCTGGATAGACGACACCCATATTTCCAACATTTCCAACATTTTCAGAGAAGACCATCCAGGCTTGCAGCCTCCTTGGCCTACTCCTAGTGCCTGGAAGCTCACACACCAGCATGTGGACATGTCTTCTTTGGAACTAGAGCTGACTCACAGAGTTCCTAAGCTCACACCCAACTAAAACTCCCAGTTATGAAAGTGTGTGTGATGGAATGACAGACAGCTGGGGTGCAACATTTTCTCTGGTACTGCAAGGCACTGGGTGGCCAACATGCCATTCTGGCCTATTCAGGTCAGGTCCTGCACCAGGGCTCCCTGCAGATACACAACAGACAACTACAGCCCAAGCAATAGTGCTTTTCATGGGCATTTCCCACAAGCCAAGCTCACAGAGGCCCAAAGGGGAAGTGGCCCTTTATCTTACAGATAAGGAACTCGGAGCAGCAAGAAGTGTCAGTTCTTGCTTAGCTGTGATCTGAACCCAGTTCTTAGGGACTTTCTCCCTAAGTGTGAGTAGAGGCTGTTTAGAACAGCAGAACTGCGCGCGCGCGCACACACACACACACACACACACACACACACACACACACACACACACACACGAATTAAAAAAAAAGAGCAACAGAATTGGAATCCTCCCCAGCCTACCTCCTCCCTCAGACGGTGACTCCCGAGGACTCTGGGCTTGAGTAAGACCTTTCCCATCCGTGACATCACTTACATGGTCCATGAAGAGCTACTCACCCCCATTTTACAGACAAAAAATGAGGTTCAAAGTACCACACACACACACACACACACACACACACACACACACACACACACACACACACGGTGACTCACCCAGGTCTGAGGAGTTCTCAGCAGAGTTCCCAACTCCACACCACAGCGTGCCGGGAATGGTCCAGCCTCTCCTCCTTCGACTGCGCCCTCTGTCAGGGGTTTGGCTCTGCCCTGTTTCTCGCTTCTCCCTGGCTCCTGTAGGACTGTCCTCAGACCCGTGACAGGCCTCCCACTGACTCTGCAGGGCGGCCAGTGCTCTCTGCAGCTCAGGTCCAGGGCTGTGGGTGAAGGAGTGCCTCCAGGGCTCATGAGTACAGAGGGCCCCGAAAGCTCCGATCAGCTCGGATTCATCCTGCCTGATACATACCTTCAGCCTATAGTGCGCATCCCAGAGGGCCTGGAATAGGGCCAGGCCTTGGGCGTCTTTGCCTAAGAAGCTCAGGGAGCCCAGAGGGCTACCAGGGATGGGCTTGACCAAGTAGCAGGAGGTACTGTTCCAGGGGAGGGTGAGGGAGCCCCCTGGAGCAACCCCTAGGAAAGTCAGCATCCCCAGCAGGACCCTGAGAATGCCCATTCTGTCCTAGCTCAGCCGGTCAGACAAAGCTCCTTGGATGCCTGCCTGCCTTTGGTTACCCACAAGGCTGCTGCTGAGGCTGCATCACAAGCAATGCCCAGCAGGCTCTGGGTGTCTGTCGGGGCCAATGAATGGAGCTGCGGGAGGAGGAAGGCAGGAGTATGGAGTGATCTTGGGCTTGTAACCAAATCCACCGGCTGGGCAGGCTGCTGATTGGCTGATAAATACATTGCTGGGCTCCCGCCTCCACTCACCCTGCCCTCAGAGCTGTCCAGTCACCTGCCCTAGGCCAGCCTGTAAGGATATGTCTGTGGGAGCCAAAGCCTTGGGCTGTGACGGTGGAAGGTGGAGGCGAGAAGCCAAGGAGGAGCTGTGTCTCCTTTGGAGTGAGAAAAGGGTGCAGTCAGGGACACCCCCAGAACCTGTCCTTGTACTCCTAACCCAGCTGTGGCTGCCACACCCAAATCTGTGACATTGGCAAGAGGCCATGGACCTCACTCAGCCAAGACAGGTAGAAGAGGTGAGGGCAGGGCTGGGGCTCTGGGGCCCACCCTGGGACTTCGCAAGTCTTCTGGGAAAGGAAGATTGATTCTGGTACTCCTTCCAAGTCCTGGGTTTCAGAAAGACTATTGGCATACTCCAAATCCCCAGGAGCCCTGGGACTCCTGGGACTCTTAAGTACAGATCTGATCCAACACCAATACTCCTGCCTGATGATTGGAACCCACAGCCAGGATAGGACCTGAAAACAACCAGGAGCAGAGCTGGCACTAGGTATTTGAGAGACGGGGTCCCCAGACAAGCAGAAAATGGCTCAGAGGGCCTCATCTGCATGCCTTCTATTCTAGGAGTGTGGCTCAGAAGGCATCATGGGTCTCTCTTTTAGGGAGGGGGCTTACTCAGCACTGTTTCCCATGTCCACAAGCTGATGTGTTATTCAGCTTCCAACCATCTGGTGAAGCTGGCACTTACACCCATTATATAGATAAAGAAACCGAGCTCAGCTGGGCATAGTGGTGCACACCTTTAATCCCAGCACTCCCAGAGGCAGAGGCAGGTGGATCTCTGAGTTTGAGGCCAGCCTGGTCTATATGGTAAATTCCAGGACAGCCAGGGCTACATAATGAGACCCTGTATCGAAAAACAAACAAAAAGAAAGAAAGAAAGAAAGGAAGGAAGGAAGAAATTGAAGCTCCATAAGGACAATAAAAATTCAAATTGCATTCAGGTCCCATGGGGCTGAGGGGGTTAAAGGCTGGGAATCAGGGCTGGCTGGGCCCAACCCCCCTCCATCCTCCATCCTACTCTCCAGGAAGTCCGATCCCAGTGGGGCAGAGTCAGAGCCAATATTGAGAAGGGGAGCTCAGTGTGCTGCTTCCGGGGAGTGAATACCAGGTCATGAGGCCCATCTTTGTGGCTTCAGAACTAGCATTGACCTGGGGGAAAATAGACAAGGACAATGAAAAGAAAATGAGTGTAACTGACATGGACACCAGACCCCTCCCCAGAGGTGGAGAAAAGAGGGGCAGTGTAGGGGAAGTGGTGGCAGGGGAGGGAGGGAGAGGGCAGGACACAGACAAGCCCAGGGAGCCTTCCTGGGAAAAAGTCTGGGATTGTGTGGTACTTCCTTTTGTCACAGGGCCTGACTTCCCACTCAACTCCCTTTTCCACATTCCACGCCTTCCCTTGCCAGACGGAATCGGGAATCGTCTCAGGACCCAGCTTTGGAAAGATTATGCAGACCCAGCTGGGGTGGTGACGCCCTTTAGAAGTCAAGCCTTCTCCGAGCCTTGGTCTCCTCTTAGCACGACCAGGACCAGGGCAATTCCCAGTTACCTATAGGATGTTAGGCAAGACTCTTAATGTAGGCCAGCATCTGCTGTCTAAAACACTCACTCATGCCTTGGGGCAGCACGAAGCAGCTTACCTAGGAGAAAGCAAATCCTAAGGTTTGGGGAACCACAGTGTCTGTATCTACTCACTTTGGGGTGGGGGTTGTGGGATGTGGCGAGGACACTGACTCACTGGGGAACTTTGTCTTATCTAGGTCCCTGTTTTCCTCCTCCCCAGTAGAAGTACCATGGGGAGGACAGCAGGGTCCAAATGAGCAGGATAGGACAGAGGTGAAACTTGCCTCTGAGCCTCCCCCACCCTGATTCACAGCAGGCGTCGGTGGGGATACGGAGTAGATGTCTGTCCAAGAAATGAGTCCTTTTTTATTCCTGTCCATATCACCCCTCCCTCCCTCTCTCCCTCCTTCTTCTTTGATGGGGTCTTGCTAAGTAGGCCAGCCTAGTATCAGCCTGGGAACCCTCCTGCCTCAGCCTTCTGAATGCCGAGATGACCAGCGCGCACACCTCACTCCAGATCCATTGCTCCATCTCTTTTGGTTTCTCACTCCTATCCCCATCTGCCTGTGACCTCTCCTGTCTCCCTAAACTCCGGTCTCCCTGACTTTATCTCTGCCTCTTTCCATTTGCCTCACCATAGGTCTCATTTCTTTCCCTTCTCTCCCCTCCCCTTTCTGTTGTGGGGCTGGGGCTAAAAGCCAGGTCCTTACACTCACCAAGCTCTCTGCCACTGAGCAGCATCTCCAGCCCCATTTTGTAACAGAGGCTTAGGGATTGTTTTGCTAAAAGAGGGTTAACTCCTTCCTCACTTGGTAACTATAGGTAAAAGCAGGGGGAGAGCCTTCAGTCCCCCCAGTCTCCTGCCTGCCTCTGCACGAAGGTGTGCTGGTCATTCATGGAGTGGCCATCTGGGAACTTGAGGGACCTCACCTGTTTCATTTCCTTTCAAGGCTGAAGGCACAGAGAGCAAGCTACTTCATCTTACTGCTGTCACCTTCTTACAGTGTCCTATCCCGGGTCCCAGTTGTCTTGAGCCAGCAGCCACCCTAGACAATCCTTAAAGGACAGACCACCCTGCAAACCAGGGCCGCACTTTGGATGTGAAAGATCATCACCTGAGAACTGGTCTCAAACAAATAAGAGCCTCTTTGGACCACCGCATACAACCAGGACTGCTTAGGCATGTAGACTTTTGCCCCAATTCTTCCTCAATTTAAACTTAAAGCTTGTCAGGCAGTAGTGGCGTATGCCTTTAATCCCAGCACTCCGGAGGCAGGGGAAGGAGGATCTCTGTGAGTTCGAGGTCAGCCTGGTCTACAGAGTGAATTTCAGGACAGCCAGGGCTGTTACACCGAGAAACCCTGTCTGGAACCCCCATACATTAAAAAAGCTAAAGCTCATGTCAGCACTCAAAGATGAATTTAGGAGCAATTGAACCCCTTACCTGGTCTTTCTGTGTTGGTTATATAGTTTTTCTCTGCTGCTCACTCTTATCTGTATCTTTGGGGGGGCTTGCTCTATTATATTTGAGAGAGGATTTAGAATTGTATCTCAGGATGACCTTGAAGTCACTGCATGAACCATGCAGGCTTGCCACTTGCAGAGATCCACCTGCTATGGCCTCCCAAGTGCACAGGACACCTGACACCCAGAGGGAGTGAACCTCCCCAGGAGCTGGAGATGCTGCTCTGTCCCCCCAACCCCTGTCTCCCCACCTCAGACTCATCCTCTCCATTAGCCTGAATGGTGCCTCTGACCCTCAGAGCTGGCACCCCAGCTTCACCCAGGAGGCGCCGTGTGCGCTGTGCTCTGAGAAGGGGACAGGCTGTGCCCGGCTGCAGAGCTTACAATTCACTTAGAAACAAAAAGTCATTGCATTTACTGTGTGCCAGGCACAGGATGAGACCCTGGAGAGAACATGCTTCTGAGAGCTGGGGGGGGGGCTGGGGGGGGATGGGAAGGGAACACATTCCCTTGGGAGAATGGGGGCTGGAAGTGGAAGAGGGGTTGGAGCCTAGTGTCAGTCGGCTCCTCCAGGAGGCTGCTGCCAAGACCCAGTTAGAAGCAAAAGAGATTTACTGGAGGAAATACTTGGATAAAGATAAAAGGAGAGGAAGCAGAGCTGGGCAGAGGAACCCTTCAGGCCATGTTTCAGCTCTGACATCTATGGGAAGAGAGGTAAAGGGAAAGACTCGGCTACGGGGAGGATAGCAGGTCTCAGCCAGCCAAGAGCACTGGTGTGAAGATTTCCTGTAGCCCCATTTGGACCCAGCCGGCCCAGCCCTAGTGACCCAGTTGTTCAGTCAATAGCTGGAGGCTTCCCAAGAAGACAGTGGTCTCTACTGCAGATCCTGAAGAACTGTAGCTTTAGACTGTCAGTCAACTGCTCTCTCACAGTGATGGGAAGAGGCCAGTGAGAGGGACAGAGGCATAAAGACAATCTTCTCCCTGGAAATCTTGGGCCGCAGAGAAAGGGATGCTGGGTAGAAAACACACCTTAAGATTCCCAGGTGGGACTCGGTCCTTTGCACTCCTGACCAGAAATGTGTCCAGCTCCAAGTGTGAGGAAATGAAGAATGAGGCCCAACAAAACAGCTCAGCAAATGGGAAGAAACACATTAGATTTGACGCTGGAGCTGCTCGGGCAACTGTAGTGGCACATGCCTGTAATCCCAGCACTTAGGAGGTAGGGGCAGGAGGACCAGAAATCACCCTCCTCAGCTACATAGCAAATCCAAGATCAACCTGGACTGTATGAGACCCAGCATTTTGGAAGTAGGGGCAGGAGGACCAGAAACTCACCCTCCTCAGCTACATAGCAAATCCAAGATCAACCTGGACTGTATGAGACCCTATCTCAGAAAGAAAGAAAAATTAGCGGGGGTTGGGGGGTAGGGGCGGTGAATGCCTTTAATCCCAGTGCTAGGGAGCAGAGGCAGGTGGATCTCTGCAAATTCAAGTTCAGCCTGGTCTACGGAGAGAGTTCCAGAACAGGCTCCAAAGCTACAGAGAAACCCTGTCCCGAAAAACCAAAGAAGAATTGAGAAAAAGTAAGAGATTATAGAAACCAACAGACCTCATTGGGCACCATTAGAAGCTGTGATGGTTCAAAATTATGCACACAGATTCTCTGAGACTCTTCCCTTCAGGAGGAGGAGCCTGAAACCCTCACTTGAGTAAAAGCTGTACTTAGTGACTTGCTCTGGCAGTAAAATGTGCTGGAAGTTTGTCACTTCCAGCTTTGAGAATGTACTGTTTTCCTCTTTGCTCTTTCTCTGGAATTGCTCCTGCTGGGAAGCAGGGTCATCA